ATATTCACAGTGCAAGTGTTGCAAGTGTTGCAGTGTTCACCTAAAACAGTTTAGGAAGCTTAGGAAGTGCAGCTTCTACACTCAGTCCCTGGTTAAGTTTTCTACTGTGAATGAATGATTAAATGTCTCTGTGTAAACACTGTGATGGACTGTGCACACACACACACACAAACACTGTGTGTAGGAGTGTCAACGCGAAGGTGGCAAACTGAGATTATCCAAGATCACCTCGAGGAGGCTGACGAGACTTTTGAAGTGCTGCTGGTCTCTCCTGAAAGCACCGTCATTGGCAGCACCAACAAAGCTACGCTCACCATCAGAGACTCAGCAGGAGGTAAAAATGATTATTTTGCCACACATGATGGCATTTGAGGATAGACTTATCTTACCCCCGAACTAAAACCACAGGGCAGTGCAGGCTAGACCAGAATCAGGAGGCTCCTGTTCTTGGAGGACAGGAGATTCAGGCCAACACGTACCCTCAGCATGGATCCATACACCTCGAGAAACTTCCTCTTGGGACAGACTCGATCATCTGGACCCGTGGAGACAGCATCTCCAGGCCAGGAGTCCCCAAAAAGAAACTCAGAGTCAGAGGCAATGCAAAGTCAGTAAGTACACACTGTAAGCTCTGCTGTTTGAATGTATTATATATGAAATCGCTGCAGTTGAATCTTTCTGCAGCTGACCTTTGTCCTTTCACAGCCTCCACAGTACGGCAGACTAGTTTTAGCTGGTGAACCACTGAGCACAGGCTCTAATTTCACCCAGAGAGACATAGAGGAGCTGGAGGTGGCATATCAACATGACGGGGGGCCGTCACAGATAGACCGATTCTCCTTCACTGGCTCAGACAGCACTAATCGAGGGTTCCTGCTGGACGGGCAGTTACACAGAGAGCCTGTTTTCTTCATATTTCAGGTAGGTTATAAGGGCTGGCTTTACCTGTGAGAGATACTGTGGTGGTGCCATAATTGTGTTGGAAACATGTGCACTAGTTAAGGCAAACAAACACTGGTTAGCTGTTTTATCCACACAGTGCTAAACCACTTTTGTGGTCATTATTGAAAGCTGTGCACAGAAGGAGAGGGACGTGGAC